CCTGAATGAGAAGTTTATTTGAGAGGACACTAAGGTTGCTGGGACAGGTCCCTGCAATCAGGCGCAGAATGTCTTAAAAGGTTGATTTTGCAAAGCTGAGAGGAGAGGAGCTCTCTCCCTAACGGATGAAATTGATAAAAAACAAAAACGACCACCCTGACCAAAGTGAAGGGGGGGCAGACTTTCTTTCTTTCTTTTTTTTCTTTTCTTTTTTTTTTTTTTTAGCTGTGAATCTCCCAAAAAAGATACATTTGCTGAGAAACTAAGAGAAACATATCTCCCAAATACCTCTGTCTGAGAATGCTAGTGCAGGGCTTCTATGATGGGAGCTTTAGGACCAGATAAATGTTCTTTGGGTAACAGGTGCGAGTGATTTATTGCCATGAGAGGGAGGGAAATTTGAAGATCTTCTCTGGATCCTGGATAAATCCACAAACCAAACTCTATTCCATATGCTTTAGGCTGCGTTCTTTGTTATTCTCCAGGATTTTTTTTATTACATTGATATGCACAGAGGCAAAAGGGAAAAAGTAACCCATGGCTTAAGTAAGAAAATTTCTGAGACCCAAACCAAAGAGTACTATAGTGTCTTTGCTTGAAAACGAAATGAAACCAAAAAAGATCAACTCTAAACTCAGAATGTGGTTCAAATCCTAACAGCACCATTAACTAGAATGTAAAATTATTTAGTTCATCCCGCCAACATTTCCTCATTTGTACAACAGACATGAGAATAGCTACTCAGGAGGGCAAAGTGTTTAGGAAAATGTCTTCCCCTGCCTGAAAATCCAAGGTATTAGGGGAATGTGGAGTAACACGTATAAAACAAAATTTTCAGTGACAGAATGTCAGAGGATGCTTGATGCTCACCTCACCACGGATTTCCTTATCAGATCTATAGGTAGACCACAACTTCCAGCCTCCTTTAAGCATGTAGCTTCACCCACATGGATCTGAGTTACCTAGGTACCTAGGCAAAAGTGATCTGCACCACCTGCCAGCCTAGGCAATTAACACCCAAGGTCTTTATTCTAAAATCCCATGGGAATAAGCAGTCTCACCACAGAATGCATGAAAGGTGGTCTCTGACTCACACCTTTCAGGATTGCTGCCAAAATCACCCATATTGTGACACGACAAGAATCAGAAATCTATTTTACATATGAAGCAATATGTTTTTCTGACTCATTTATTAGAGATCTTAAACTAGGCAATCTAATACAGTCAAGCTCTTTGCTTACCACCTTATGTTTTACCCCTATCATGAAACCTTCAAATGGATATTGTTCCAACTTTAAAGCTAAAAAAACCTCAGGCTCCCAGAAGGAAGAAATTATCTTTCCCACTCCCATGAGTGTTAGAATCAGATATGGAAACAGGTGAATCTACTTCAAGGTCAAAGGCCTTTCTACCCTGCACACAGAACTGCAGTGTGGACACTGTTCTTTGCTTGTTCACTCCTGATCTCCAGTGTGTTTCTTCTTAAAAACTACATATTTTCACCTATGTTTGCATCCAGAATTAGGATGATTCCTTTCAGGCATGGCTTCTTACAGATCATCCCACCATTCACTTGCCTCATGACAAGCAAACAGCTTAGAGGAGAGAAGATTCTCAGCACTTTTGCAAGTGGCTACTATGTCACAGATGGTGAATGAAAGACACAAATAAAGAGGGAATGGTAACAGAAATTCCCAAGCTGACAGTGATCCCTTAATAGGAGTGATATCTCAGTAGTACAAACAATTCCCCCCAATACATAAAACATTACGATTGAGTATCTCATGTTGCTTTCTTGCACTCTGTATTTTACCATACCACATTTGCAAATGTCCTCAGATTGCAAACATATCTTAGTGATTTAGTGCTCAAATTTTCTTCTCACAGAAAATAAAAGAAACTGAGGGGAAAAGATGAAGAAAAAGAAAACACTTTAGATGCTAAATACTAGAACCTCTGAGAAACTTAAAATGCTGTTTTATGGACACAAAATAACAGAAACAAAGAATCTGTCTCCATCAATGAACAGACACCTGCCCTTGACTCTCACATGAAATAGATTTGCTCATTTAAAATCCTATAAAAGCAAGTTCACAACAAAGTTTAATTTCTTCTGATAAAACGAGAGGTTATACCTAATGCATTTTTGCATCTGACTTGACTATAACAAAGAAAATTAAAACACATTGAAACCATTATCAGATATAGTTGGAGACATCAGGAAGATGGGTAAGTCAGGATTATAAAAGAGGTGGTTTCAGACAACAGGCTTAACTCATTAGGCTATTTTGATTTTGATTTTTGTAAAATTTATATTGCAGATAAGTTATTCTGTGGAAATTTTGAAAGAATTTTCAGTCAAAAGACTTAGGGCTTAGAGGAAAAAGTGCAAAGGCATACTTCTGAACAGGAAGATGTGTGTAAAATAAAGAGATTATTAAAAACAAAAAAGCCTCATATGACAGGGTTGTTTTTTAATCATCTTTAATTGGATACTTATGCAAGGACTACAGGAGGTTCTTAACTGCCTCCCAAGTGATGTGAAACTCCTCACCCCAGAGAAAGTACAAGTGGGTTCACAGGCTACAAATAAGAGATCTGCCTTTGCTGCAATTTCCAGAGGCAGCTTTAACAACAAGTGACTTTTCTTAGAGTTGTAGCCTCTAATTCAAAAGATCTTTCTGAGTTTGCAAGCAACCTGGTGAGTTCCACGCTGAACAATAATGAGGCTTATCATTATGGCCTTTTAAACCTAGACAGACCATTAGAGTCAGTCAAAGCACCAATGCTTTCTTTTGCTCTAAGTGAAGGGAGGCTGTGAGTAGAATTTTATAAAGTAAGAAAAGTCATGATGTAAGGGAACACGTTGTTTGATCCTTAGCAATCTTTCCTACTGCCTACAACTACTTTGAAGATAACTAAACTGTCCTGAACGAAATCTAGATGAAGGTACCAAGAACAAATTTATGGCGAAATCTGTTTCCTCTTGACCATCCAAGGTGTGTCTGCCTCCTGACATGATGCTAACACCTTTTTATACCCCTGGATGTCGGGAGACAACAAACCTGCTCTTCAGCCTGGCTTGAATGCTACTGTAGGGCGCCCTCCCCCACGAAAGGCTACACCAGCTGCTTGTGCTCCTACTGTGCTAAAGAACAGGAACCATAAACCTCAACACGCAAAAACAGAAAAGTGCATTCCAAATTATTCTATGTAGGTGTCCAAACGAATCAGTTCTGTTGTGTTTGTTCCTTGAAACACTCAGCTCCCATCATTGTAAATTACTGGAAATGCCCACGCAATTAAAACAAAACAAAACAAAACAAAACAACCCACCTTTATTCTGAAAAACAAGTCTCGCCCCCACGTTGATTCCTATAGGAAACTAGAAAAAGTTCAGCGAGCGGGGCTCACAGGACCTGCCTTACAAACAATCCTGTAATGTGCCCCTAAGATCTAGTGTGCCTTCTTCCGCACATGCCACACACCCAAGATTATCAGTCACACTGATTAACCTGGTCACAACCTCCGCAAATCTTTGCCATCAGAACCTAGAGCCGGAGCCCCACAACCTACACCTTATCTTCCCAATGCACTAAGCAGCTCCCTCTCAGGAGCTGCGCTGTGCTGCAAAATGCATTCATGCATCAGGTTCTGCTTAGTTCAAGAGACTGGGGAGCCCTAATCCTCCTACATCCACCTCACCCACACCTTTCAGTTTTAGTGAAACATATGTACTAGAGAGAGGTAAAGAGCAGAAATGAAAGAATATTTTTGAGAGCAAAAGGGTTGGCATCTGCGGGGCGCCTGGTGCCCATCTCACTGCTGCTTGTGGAGAGGAGATGATGCGGTTGCGTTTTCCTTTCCCAAAGAAACTGAACACACACACACACACACACACACACACACACACACACACACACACACACACACACACACACACACACACACACAAACCCTCCCCAGAAGTTATTAGAAATGCATGCTGCCCCTACACTCTCTCAAGACCAACACTGGGGAAATCTTTATGCCTTCCACAACAGCAGAGCCCTGGTTAACCTGGTTCACCGCGCAGCCACCACTGTGCTTTGCAGGGAGCCTGGTACGCTGTGGGCGCTCCAAAAAGGAGCCTTTCAAAAAGGCTCTCTCTATCGTGAGTCCCAGTCTATCTAAGTCCCAGTCTCCAGAGCCTTGATGTCCAAGTCCCTTCAAATTCCAACCCAAGTTCACCGACTCATACTGTGGGTTGCACCTGAGTGGGTATGGGAACCCCAACACCCACAGCAGAAAGAAACCTCAAGCAAGAATGCGCACCCGGAGCGAGGACGCACGGAGAGGGCAATCGCGTGACCCCCGCTGGAGGCGCTTATTTTAAGGTTTCTGGATGTATTTTCTGCTATAGGCTCCTTGTTTCGTGGCAGTCTTGCAGCGCAACAAACTTCTTTTCACACTAATAAAGGAGAAGAAGGGTTACCGTGAGGTGACAGTGGCGTCCACGGGAGCGCTGCCACTTGCCAGGTGGAGTGTTCTCAGCTCCTCACAGTCTCTGGTCAGCCCTTCAGGAGAGACAACCCGGGGTTCTCACCTGTCCTTCCCCAGCCCAGAAGGACCATGCTCTTTTTCCCCAAGCCGTGAACCAGGCAGGGTGCCCGGGGGACAGTGCACTCCCGAGCCAGGCTGGACTTACCGGAGGCGCCCAGAGCAGCTCTTAGGAGAACCTTGCGCGCGATGCCGCCAGCGTCCGAGGGTCCCGGCAGAGTGGCAAAAGCTCCCTACTTGCGACCAATCCTGGTTATGAACCCGGTGCTCTGTGGCTGCCGCGCGCCCCCTCCCTCCTCCCGCTCGTGGCGGCTCTCAAAACCCGGCGCGCCGGAGTTCAGGCAGTAGCCGGCTCGCTCGCAGCCGCCAGGGGAAGACTCGCAGGGAGGGGGCGAGGCTAGGGGAGGGCGGGGGCCCGCGCTCGGCGGAGCTGGGCATGCTCAGTGCTCCACCAGAGGCAGCGCGCCCCCAGGCGCAGTTCCTGCACCGCCTTGCCCTGGGGAGGCGACCCCGAGTCCCCACGCTGGACACTGGAAAAGGGAGCATTGCCAGGCCGGTCTGGCCCTGTCTGGTTTCTGTAGCGGGACACAAAGGGCGTGTTTGTCCAAGGGTACATGAAGAGGAGGGCATCTTCCTTTGCCACCTGAGTATTGGGAAGCAAGGAAGCACGACCTGCCTCTGGCTTCCTGCACAATTGGAATCCGGAGGATCTTCAAAGTGGTCTGGCCAGGGATACCACGTCTGGGCTGAGAATTGCTGCGCATAGGTTTGGGGTGAGCGGTAGTAGGTAGTACTGAACTTGGGTTGTGGACGGAGGTGGCTTTGGGGGCGGTGTTATTTGCTTGTTCTTAGGCGGAGGACATTGGCCAGACAGACCGTGTAAGGGACCTAGTGTCTTAAGGATACAATGTACTTTCAAGCTGGAATGCGCATGAGGGATGGAGTGGAGGAACATTTGCGATGAAATAGGGACAAGGATCAATTTGTCTTGTGTGGGGGCATATTAAAAGCCTCGTTATTAAAAGCAGGTGCAGTGGATAATGACGGTGCTCTGGTCATTCTACGGGACTGTTTCCTTGCAGAAATGGCTCCCTTCACCCCAACTCCAAATCTCAAGGTAGCCATAGAGACTGAGAAGGAAGTCTGAGGCCCCTTCCTTGGTCCCTGTGCAAAGAGAATCTGACAGGCAGAGAGACTGCCCAGTGGGGTTCATGCAGAATCCATTTCCAGCAACCCCAAAAGAGACTGAGTTTCTCTCCCTAGGGGGAAAAAAAAAGCCCCAGGAGATTCTACAGAACTCAGCCTTCCTGTGCATGTCTCAGCAGTTCAGAGCTACATAAACAACTTCTGACCGTTTATTTACACAATCATGCAAACCTACCCTGACATCTCCATTATGTGGGAAAGATGTTAACTGGAAAACTATTTTTAAACTACTGTGGTAAGCAAACACTCAACTCCTCCGAACACATGAGGCAGCCCCCTTAGTTGATAAAAGGGATTTTGTTTTATATTTAGTCTCCTGTCTTGGGTTATCACTTTTGTTGATTTTTAATGTAATCAGTTCTTGAGAGATGAGCAAATCTTAACGAGGGGATAGGTATCACATGAGCTTCACGACTGCTGAGGTTATTGCTGGAGGAAAGAGCCCCTCTCCTCATTTTCTAGGCTCTTAAAATTAGACAGATTTAAGCCCCTCCCTTCTCTCTCGTGAAGGAAATTTTACAGATAAGGAATGCTGGTGATGTGATTTCCCTGGTAAATTACTAAAGCTGATGGTTTTCTATTCACTTCAAATCCACCATGATCCATGATTCTGATAACTTTTGCTGCATTGCTTTTTTTAAAAAAATAATGTTTCTTTTGTATTTTTAAAATTAACTTTACCCATACAAAATAATAGGTTTAATTATTACATTTTCATAAATATGTTTGAAATAGCTTGTCTTGTGTTTGTCCTCTCACTACACTCCCCCATGCCTATTTCCTTCTTTCACCCAAATAATCTATATTCTATTTTTAAGTAATAGTTTCAGGTACATATATATGAGTCCATGTATATATATATATATATATATATATATATATATATATATATATATATATATATATATATGAGTTTCAGTAAAAGTTGATAACAAAAATTGCCTATCTTATGAGAAAACATACCTTTGTGTACATATACACTCAGCTCATTCAGAGGAAACATGGTATTTTAAACTCTCTATACAATTAACAAAAAGTGGAAGGGAGAGAGAGAAAGAGAGGTGGGGGGACTACCTGAAACAATTTTCAAACTTTTATGAACAGTATGAGCAAATTTCCTTAACTATGCATTCTGAATTTCAATTCTGAATAGGTTATTTGCTCTCTTACCTTTAATTCTTTTCTTTAATTATTTTAATTCACTGCATGTGAGACAGTGTACTCTAGCTTATGCAAGGAAATTCGAGATGACCATTACTTAGAATCTGCTCCAGAAATGACCGACTGTCTACTAAGGAAAACAGTGTATATCTGGAGAGACAGATCTGGGTCGGATTGCTGGGATGTCAGTTAACTGTTATGCTGGGGGGGTGCTGTCTTTCCATCAACATGCATCTAGTTTAAAATAAAAGCAATAATCCAGTCCCGTTTTTCCATCTGCAGGGAAGAAGCAAGGCTGAACTGCTACCCTGGCCAAGAAAAGCAAGCTTCTCACTATAGCTCTCCTGATTGGGGAGTGTTCCTAAGAGAGTCAGCCACTGCCAGGAGATGGGGGTGGCTTATTTTGAAGACACCATCCTCACATGTGTATCCCTGCATATCCAGGCACCCCAGCTAAGTGTTAGTTCCTTGCTCAGAGAACCTGTGATTGGGATTCTCTGGGGGGAAATGTTCCAAACGAATCAATTAACACAACTAGTAGAGTTCAATACCACTGCATGGAGACCCAGCTCTGTATCAGTGCATGAATGAATGACTGGTGCTCATGTCATTTGCAAATAATCATCATTACAACAAAGCGGAAAACTTCCCTTACCCATTTAGCCTGTGTGGCATGTCAGCAGAGAGTTTCAATAACCCTCATGGACCCTTCAAAATATTTGCACATATATGTGAAGTGTAAGCTCCAGATATTTTAATATGGGAGTATCTATTTGGACACAAGGTCACCTCTTACACTCATTAAACCAATCTGAATGAGGTCTGATAACTCTTAAGGGAAATCAGCACTAGAAATGCTTTCGACTTTTTGGAGACACGGATGGAATATATCAGCAGGTTTCACTCAGCGTGAGACAGCACTGAAAACTCCAGAAAGGACATAGCTCTGTCCCACCCCACCCGCACAGTCTTTCTTCACACATCTAGGGCTTGTGGTGGGTGTGAATTTAATGTAAGAGATGGGAAGAAAAAAAGGAGAACTTTACAGAAAAAGAATATGCTTCTTTTGACCACATCTGATCTGAGTCAATTTTCTGCTGATTCCTCATACCCAGTGGGAATTAAAAAAAAAAAAAATCCATAAGCGCCATGTTGTGTGTTCTAAGTGACATGAATTAAGTGATCCAGAGATGAGGAGATAACTCAATGGATAAGAGTTCTTACTGCAAAAGCAAGAGGAGCTTAGTTCAAATCCCCTAAACCTAGGAAAAAGTCCCAGGCATGGTCATGTGTCTATAACCCTACCTTTTGCAGGTACTGGGGTGGATATAGGCAGATATCTGGGGCTTGATGGCCAGCCAGCCTAACCAGCTTTACGTTAACGGAGATACTCTGGCTCAAAATAAAAATGGGGAGCAGTAGGGGAAGACTCCTGAAATCTCCCTCTGGCCTCTACATGTACACTCACAGGCACATGTACCTCTCCATACACATGCTCACATACACACACACAACACACACACACACACACACACACACACACACACACACACACACACACACACATTGAAAATAGGTTGACAGAACTGTGGGGGCAACTCAGATGAAAAAATATCGAGATTTTATAATTAATTTGCTTTTCTAATGCATTTGGTGCCTTAATTGATCTTCATGCACAAAGCAACATTCATACCCCTTCCTAGTTTTGAAAAATAACCTTGTTTATCACAAGTGAATAGAGGGGTGTTTTCTTTAGGAGTTATGTCAAGAAGGCTTTATGCTCAGTTTTTTAAATATAACAAGGAGAACTCAGAAACTGACATTAGAACAGCCTTTTCCAGCTCCCTCCTGTTTGACTGCTGTAGGTGACTCTTGAGCCTCAACCTAAGGACATGGAATAATAACGGCCACATGGTGGGATAATGGTAATTAGCACACAAAAGTTCAGTTAATTACCATGAAGGTTATGACACAGACTGACAGACAGAGTCAAAGTAAACTACAAGCCTTCCACCCCCGGCCAAGATTCTTTAAAAAAATAAGACTGTGGGACTCCAGCTGAATTTAGGCATAAGGTACAATTGAAGTCAGTCACCTGTTCTCCCTCCATTCTTTTCCATGTTTTTAAATTTCTTTATACAAAATCCAAATGCAATGGGTCTAATGGTCTATACTTTGATAAAGTATGTATAGTTGATTTTCATTGTTCTTGGTGATTATATTTCATAATGATTCTGTAAATAATGAATTGTTCCCAGTAAAAACAGAGACAGGTTTCAGAGACTCTCTGTTAGCAGGATCTTCATTAACTAATCAACACATCTAATTTTCTGGGAACTTCTGGTAGATGAGTTGTTCAGTATTTGGTATTGTTTCCTGATCACTGAACTCAGGTTCACAGCACTGTAGCCTTTGCCTAACAAAGCTTATTATCCAGAGTCTATATTTTTTGTGTAAAGCATAGCAGCCTCTTTAGGAACACCAGAAAACACAGTATGATAAGGGCATTTTGAACAGCAAAATTGCCAATGAAGTTTCTAAAATAGCTAGCAATGCTGCAAAACTGAGACTTCCAGGCAGTATGGGCTGATAGGAGAAGGCCACACATCACCTTGCTTGACCTGGGCCAGGATCTCTGCCTTGGGAGGTGCAAACTCTGCTCTCTGTGAATCATAAGCACCTCGTGTACCTACAGCTGTCAATGAGAGGCTTAAGTATTAACCTCTAAGTTTCAGATAACTGAACAAGTGAGCAACTTTGCAATTATGGAATCTGCAAATAATGAGGATTAACTGTATCAATTTTTTTTTCCTTTAAAGGGTGAGGCTCATTAGCTCACATGAATTCAACTAACATTCAACTCAATTTACAATCATTTAAAAATATATTATTATTAGAAAAGAACTTTATATATTTTGCAGTATGTCTTCGGCCAGCTTTCTCACTTAAATTAGGTAATGCAATTACATAAGATTTTTCTTTTTGTCACATACCACAATTGCTTCGTGTTTATTTGAAAATGAATATTTTGTGATATTGTCATCATCCATTTTGTTGTACACAAAGTAGAGATTTTCAAGAACTAATGCAACGTTACAAAGAATAAAGAAAAGTTAATAAAATGAAGAGTGTGTTTACCCCCTGCCCCACAAACAGAATTATCTCAAATGAGAAATAAAGATGTTTTGTTCTATTAATAAGACTCTAAAAGTAAGTAGTTTATATCTTTGTTCTTTGAAAATATTATTTAAAATTCAATGTCTGGGATCTCAGCCCATGTTAAAAGACTCATGAGATGGCCCCTCAATGTTTTCTGCCTTATGGTAGTCATGTCCTTATTTAATTCCTTTGTTCGTAAAGGTTGGCTAGACTTATTGATTTACTATTATTGATTTCCAGGAATGATGGATGCCACTTCCTATATTAGGTTACATAGAGACTGTGGGTTTTATTTGGTACTCTTGGACTCTCTCATTACACTGTCGCATGAAAATACTCTTGAAGCTTGTGGATAGGCCACATGGCACATATGCAAATAAATAAGACCTCTCCTTGATAATATGGATGAGCTAGGGAAATTTTCTGAGGCTGCCTAACCAAGTGTTACATCATAGAACCTGCCAGCTAGTTTTCTAGTCTCAGTAAAGCCTTGAGACAAATGAAGCACTGACTGGCAACTTGGTTTCAACTTCATGAAAGCCTCAGCTGCAAACACCCAAGAGAGCGTTGAAAACTTATGTAGCTCCTAGTTCAACACCAACATTAAGCAATTACCATTTGTTTTAAGCCCAAGAGTCTGGGGTAATTTGTTACACAGCGATGGATAATTGATTATGCCACAACATATACTGATCTGAGTAATGGACATAGATTTATGCATTTTACGAACAATTTTGATGAAGATGTTTGACAGGCTTCTCTCTTTTAGGTCATGATATAGAGAGGTGAGAGGATTATGAAACTATCAGAGAATATATCAAATCACTTGTTTTCCAATTTTATCCCAAACAAATGACACTTCAATCAAAGAGTACAATTTACTATATTTAGAATGATTTTCATTGTATACCTACTGTTTTGATACCACTTTTTACATCTGGTGTATCTAAATTTTCATATCACTAATTTTCTGTTATGTGTTTTAAAGTCGCTTCCTATATTTGTAGAATATACTCCAAATTACTCAATTATTCCCTATTGTTTGAACATTTAAACTGTTTATAGTCTGTCATGATAAACAAGTCTTTAATAAATATGCTAAATTATATTTTACACATGCCCTAAATTATTTCATTGGAATAAATTCTTAGAGTATGAGTTCATTAGTCAAAACAATATTGTCATTTTATTCCTTATTTTTAATTCTGAGATGGAGGTTTAACTCTGATGCCCTGGCCAGTCTTAAGTTGACGATTTACATTATGCTGGCCTTGAACTTTTGGGGATCTTCTTGACTCTGCCTCCCTAGTACTGGATTACAGGCAGCAGGTTTGTATCAACCCTGAAGCTCCTTTGAAACAAACAAACACTTGTGTGTGTGTGTGTGTGTGTGTGTGTGTGTGTGTGTGTGTGTGTGTGTGTATGGGTCCAAGGGCTGCAGTGTGTGTGTGGAGGTGAGGGATAACTTATGGGAGTAGATTGTCTCCTGCTGCCATATGGGTCCCACGTGTTGAACTTGGGTCATAGGCTCTGCCTTTACTCAATGAGCCATCATAATGGCCCCTGCTACTCCTTCTTAGTTATTAGGTTCTTCACTAAAAATGTCTATGTGATCTTCAAAAATAAAAATAGGTGAAGGCTCAAAGCCTCATTCCTGGTATTCTGTAGAAGACCCAAACCTAAATTCTGCACAAATAACAGCAGAGCAGATTTTAAAATAGTCAAACTGTAAGCTTAATAAATCACTAACTGTGTAATTATGGATTCTTGACAACACTTTGAGTGACAGATATACCAGCAGCCACTGTTAGGGCAGGATGAAGTTAAAGTTTAGTGAGAGTCAGGTGACAAAATCTGTCCAAAGCTGCTCAACACAGAACTCATTGGAATCATAAACACAGAGAATTATTCCTAATAATAAAGCTCATGGGTTGTATTGGTTTGAGTGAGAAATGTCCCCGTAGACTCCTGTATTTGAACACTTGGATCCCAGTTGGTGGAACTGTTGGTGAAGGTTTAGAAGGTACAACCTTGCAGAACGAAGTATATCCTTTGGGAGCTGGTTTTGAGATTAAACAAGCCTCCCCCTCCCTACTTCCAGTTTGCTCTCTCTGCTCTGGTTTATGTTTGAAGATGGCTGCTCACCATCCTGCCCCTTCAGCCAGGACTTCTACTGCAGTGTTTACTCAACATGATGAGCTCCTATCCCTCTGGAACCATAAGCTAAATAAACTCAGTCTTTCTTAAGTTGCTTTTGGTCACACAATTTTATCAAAGCAACAGAAAAATAACTCATACAGGACTCACCAGGATTTCTTACTGTGTTGTGTGTGTTATTTCTAGCCAAACCCTTATATCCAGCACCATTACAGCAACAATGGATCTCAACAATGAGAAAGATCATTCTCTGCTTACAATGGTCCAATGGTCATCAATAGCTTCCGTGATGCCAATTAGCAAAGTTTGTATCATTGATAGTAAAAAAAAAAAAAACAACAAAAATCCTAACTGAATCTCAGGCAGGTTTCCTAATAACAAGCACACAGAGGCCGACTCCTATCTCTAGAGTGTGTTCCCAATAATGGAACTGCAAACATTACAGAATAAAGAGCACCAGCAGAGGTCAGGACCAGCGACTCAGACACATATCATACACGACCATCAGCCGTTCATACCAGCTTACACTACTTTTGCTCAAGTGAAGTTCAATGTGGAGAAGTTACACATGCTTTCTTATATAATGCCTATTCATTTGGTCAAAATTTACATAAATTTACTTTCTCATCTCAGTATATGTTTTCTGGTACCTTTCAGGTTTGCCAGGTATTAAGCTGTGATTTATTTCGTATTTCTCATTTCTTTTTATTGCTACCAAGTTTAAATTGTATGTGATTAGTAGCTGTATATATTTTATGAATTTCCAATTAACGCTTTATTTACTCTGGTGTGCATCAGGACTCTAGAATTATGTCAACATGTTTTTGGATATTTAAAGTGACAATTTTATTGTAAATATTACTATCTATTTGACTTTTAAAGCTGGAAATATAGATTTATTTTACATTCTTGTGTCATCACAGTTATGACTTTTTATCCACATATTTATATTTAATGCCCTATCTTAAAATATGTTTTCTGCTTCTATAGACCCAGTACCCCCCAAAAAAAGAACAGACAAAAATGGAGGCAAATATTATTTAGATATGTACCTTCTAAAGTTTGTTGAAGTGGTCTTTAAAGCATTCATCAAATAAGGGAATATTTATGTAAGAATCTAGATAAAATCAGCAATTATGCAAAAATAGTGAGTCTAGGGCATTTGAAACATGAACGTTTTCTTCAGTTAAGCATGGATAGAAAACGACATTCCATGTAGGTGCCCCTAAGAATACAGGTGTGTCTTGCCTGTCTTACCCCTTGCTGGAGCAGTGTATGTGGTTATCACTGAGATGGGCAGGATTTGGGCATTTCTCATCCTCCACAGAACTATATGATGTAGAGAACAAATTCCATTTAAGTTCCTATCATGCTCAAAATACTGAGACCCTAATTGTTCTACCTAGTACAATTGTAAAGATGAGATCTCATGTCAACCAAAACCTCTATAGGTTACTCTACCCTTGAAGAAAGCTCTGAAATGGAAGGTGTCATCCAGAAGGACACCACTTTCCAAAGCCCCAGCTTTAAGATATTGCCCAAGTGGAGAACTAGATTTTGAGTAGTGTGTGTGTGTGTGTGTGTGTGTGTGTTTAAGTGTGTGGTCCATGAATTTACATGAAGCAGAATGTAGACATTCTAAGATTGTACTCATAAACAGTGAAATGATAATGAGATGAATATGAGCAAAAAGTAATGATACACATGCATGAAATTACCTCAGTGAAACTCAATTATTTTATGGACTAAGAAAAATAGTTGAATGAAGTCAGACAGTGGTGGTGTATGCCTTTAATTCTAGCACTTGAGAGACAGAGGCAGGTGGATCTCTGTGAGTTTGAGGCCACCCTTGTCTACAGAGTGGGTTTCACACAGCCAGGGATACACAGAGAAACACTGTCTCGAAAAAAAAGTAATAATAATTGAATAAAAAACAATGTAAGTTTTGATGAGCAGCTATATGGAAGAAGGTGGTATTTCTTATCTCTTCATGTTCATGAGAAATAAGCTAACCCCAGGATATTAAGCTTATAAAAGAAAACCAGGGGAAAACAGAACTGAGAAGAGCCTTATTGGATCATAGCAAACTTCTACCATTGACTCAGAAAATGATGCCGTAGGATCTGGAAAGAGGGCATAGTGGGAAAGAGAACCTGCTGAGAAAGAATAAGGACCTGACTTTAGAACTCAGCATTCATGTAAAAAGCCAGGCTTTGCCTGTTTTCTTGAGCAGGAACCAGGAAGATTGCTTAGGGTTGCTGGTGACCAGCCTGTCAGCAAGGGCAGGAAGGGGTGGAACAGAATATCTTGACTTCCTCCTTTGACTTCTACATGCATATCAACACATGCACCATCACACATACACAAAGACAATATAACTACACTCCACAAAACATACACATACACACACACACACACAGTAAATAAATATACAAAACTGACCCCATAAATTAGCTAGGGAGTTGATTATATTGCCTTCCATCTAGAGAACAATTTATTACACAAGATACCAGAAGGGAAAGCTAGACTTGTCACTTGGAAATCAGTCCATGTTAGCAGTAGGATTTGATTGTGGATAGTTTTCAACTTACAATGATTTGACACATAAATTTTTTCTTGTCTTTTGATGATATGAAAACCATATCCAATGTCTTAGGGTTTCTATTGCTGTGAAGACACCCCATGACAATGGCAACTCTTTTCTTTTTTTATTTTTTTTCTTTTACTCTTTTATTTTTTAAAAAAAATTTAAATAATTTAATTCTACATATCAACCACGGATTCCCTTGTTCTCCCCCCTCCCGTCCCCCTCCCCTTCCCTCCACACACCCCCCATTCCCATCTCCTCCAGGGCAAAGACTCCCCCGAGGATTGAGATCAACCTGGTAGACTCAGTCCAGGCAGGTCCAGTCCCCTCCTCCCAGGCTGAGCTAAGAGTGCCTGCATAAGCCCCAGGTTTCAAACAGCCAACTCATGCACTGAGCACAGGACCCAGTCCCACTGCCTGGATGCCTCCCAAACAGAGCAAGCCAATCAACTGTCTTACCTATTCAGAGGGCCTGATCCAATTGGTGACCCCTCAGCCATTGGTTCATAGTTCATGTGTTTCCATTTGTTTGACTATTTGTCCCTGTGTTTTATCCAACCTTGGTCTCAACAATTCTTGCTCATATAAACCCTCCTCTTTCTCGCCAATTGGACTCCTGGAGCTCCACCCAGGGCCTAGCCATGGATCTCTGGATCCGGTTCCCTCAGTCATTGGATGGGGTTTCTAGCACAACAATTAGGGTGTTTGGCCATCCTATCACCAGAGTAGGTCAGTTCGGGCTGTCACTGGACCATTGCCAGCAGTCTATTGTGGGGACATCTTTGTGGATTTCTGTGGGCCTTTCTAGTACTTTGCTTCTTCCTATTCTCATGTGGTCTTCGACAATGACAACTCTTTTTTTTTTTTTTTTTTTTTTTTTTTTTTTTTGGTTTTTCGAGACAGGGTTTCTCTGTGTAGCTTTGCGCCTTTCCTGGATCTCGCCCTGTAGACCAGGCTGGCCTCGAACTCACAGAGATTCGCCTGCCTCTGCCTCCCGAGTGCTGTGATTAAAGGCGTGCGCCACCACCGCCCGGCAACAACTCTTATAAAGGAAAACATTTAATTGGGGCTGGCATGCAGTTTCAAAGGTTTAGTCCATTGTCATGTCGAGAAGCATGGCAGCATGCAGGCAGACATGGTGCTGGAGAAGGAGCTGAGAGTTCTACATTGTGATTCACAGGCAGCAGCAGGAGACTGCGCACACTGGCAAGACATGAGCTTATGAGACCTCAAAGCTTGCCTCCACAGTGACACACTTCCTCCAACAAGATGACCCAAATTTCAACAAGGCCGTACTTCCTATAATGTCTCTCCCTATGGACCAAGCATTCAAACACAGGAGTCGATGGAGGCCATTCCTATTTAAACT